CAGAGGAGGCCACACGCATGATCAGGGGGCAGCAAGGCAGGCCCTACGAGGAGAGGCTACAGGACCTGAACCTGTTCAGCCTCCACAAGAGAATCTAGGGGGGATCTAGTGGCCGTTTACAAACTAGTCAGAGGGGACCAGCAGGCATTGGGGAAGTCCCTGTTCCCCCAAGCACTGCCAGGAGTGACTAGAAATAACGGTCACAAGCTGGCAGAGGGGAGATTCAGACTAGACATCAGGAGGCGCGACTTCACGGTCAGGGCGGTTAGGATCTGGAACCAACTTCCAAGGGAAGTGGTGCCGGCTCCTACCCTGGGGGTCTTTAAGACAAGGCTAGACAAACACCTTGCCGGGGTCGTTTGACCCCAGTACTCTTTCCTGCCATGGCAGGGGGTCGAACTTGATGATCTGCTCAGGTCCCTTCCGACCCGACCAACTATGAAACTATGTTTTAAATAAATGCATGGACACAGCCAGATGGATCAAACCCATCCAAATCCAATTGTTGTTCTTCAGCTCCGGGGCTGTCTTGGCTGCTTTTGAGGCTTTTCTTTTGGAGGTTTCTCTCATAAGCACGTTTTTGTGTCTTAATTTCTAGGGGATTTTTTTAATCAAACAAAGCCGTTTTAAAATGCAAAAATTGAAGATGAATGCAGAAACCAGGGAAGGATTGAAATTACCCTGTCTAATCACCAGCCACTTGACTGCTTATGACTTTAAAAATAAATAAATAAATAAAAAATATAGTGCTGCTTTTCCAAGAGTGTCATAGAGAAATAATGAGTCACTGGTTGATTATTGCCATCTGACTTGTATCTCCAGCTTGTTCCCCGTTCAAGTTCCGGCTGTTCCCAATGTCCAGTGGAACTTGTGGTTAGGGCATGACCCTTTGCACTTTAGAGACCTGGGTTCACTTCCCAGCTCCATCCTGGCCTTGTTGTATGAACAGCATGCAGGGGTTGAGCTGTTCAGGATGGGATCTGGGGTGCATTTGCAAGGCAGCTCCATTCTGCACTTATAGAAATGGCTTACTGGAAATTGCTGCTTGTTTGGCCTCAAATCTCTTGGTGACATGGGGATGACATAAAAACAATATCAGAGCAAGATCTGTCCACTTGTAAGCCCTGTTTTGCTGCTAAAGTGATGTAAAGGGACCTTGCTGTACAGGAGAAATGTATTTACATTTATGGTAATACGCCAGTTTACCGTACTTACTCATCTATCACACACACCTCCAAAATTGGGATTCGTATCTTGAATGGGGAAGCTAATTTCTGTGCCAGAATTGAAGCACAGGGATGCTATAATGGCTGCCAGGTCATCTTATTTGGAGGCAGGTGGTCTGTGAGTACATATGATAATTCCCCCTCTGCCCTCTTAAGTCTGCTTTGGCTCTTAAGACTATGCTTTTCATGTCAGGAATGGTCACTTATTCTGCATATAGACAGCCACTAGTGTAATGTAGATCCTTGCTCAGATTCATCTATGCTGGGTCTTCATTTGTGAAGGGCTGGGCTGGGCTAGATGATGTTAGTCATGGCACTAGGAGGGAGACATATCAAGGGAAGTATGACCCTCAGGCCTGGTCTAGAATTTTTTTAGTCCTGGTGTAATATGATTACATGGATGCAACTCCTAGTGTGGATGGAGTTAAATTGGTATGGGAAGACCTTTTATCAGGATAATTTAATCCCCTTCCATAGGAGAATACATCCCAAGATAAGCCGTTTTGTATTAAAGTAGGTGCTTTCACAGTGTATGTCGTGTGCCACTTTCACTCTACCAGGATAGTGAAAACTGTATGGCTTTTGTGTGTATCCATGAAGCGTTGGCTATAACAGTGATGAGCATGGTAGAGAAAGAAGCCACTGTCTCTTCCCAGAAATAGGATAATGTTTGTGTAGCATCAATGGGTTTCTGTGTGTCTCGACAACAAGCATTTTGCAGAGAATCCTCTTTTGCAGATCAGTGCGTTAGGGAATATATTCAGTCTTGTTAAGGTGACAGGTTGCCCGCAGAGATTGTCTGTGACCTGTGTGTGCAGTGCCTAGCACTGCAATAACCCTCATGCCCACGGGGGGCCTGTGGAGAAGTAATAATAAGGAAGGGATCTCTGGAAAAATCTTTTCACTCCTTCCTTCCTGTCTTCCATAGGTTCCCAAGTGACTGCGGAAAGCCCGGCCCGTCTGGAATCAGCCACAGAGCAGAGTACCATGAACTGAGAAAGGCGCAACACGGATATTTGTCTTTCTTTGCTCATTTTTTTTTTTTTTTTTTTTTTTAA